CCCCCCGTGCCACGAAATCTGCACTTCATCTCCGACACCCGCGCCTGCCACGAAATCAATATTTTAAGGTGAACTCCCCGGCGCAAAAATTTATCACCAAGCAAACATGCCTCTTGTGCTAGTTCTCTTTCTCTTTGCTGTTTCTCTGGTGTATCTATCTATCTATCTACTTACCTATCTCTCTATCTTTCTTTCTTTCTTTCTTTCGTTCATTCTTTCTTTATTTATTTATCTATCGATCCATTTATCTGTCTATCTTTCTATCTGTCTATCTATCTAGCTATCTAGCACCTGCCACGAAATCTACACTTCAATGTCCACAAGGTACTGTGCCTGCCACGAAATCTGCACTCCAAGGCCAAAGTCCTGCACCTGCCACGAAATCTGCACTTCAACGTCCACAAAGTACTGCGCCTGCCACGAAATCTGCACTTCAAGGTCCACAAAGTACTGCGCCGGCCACGAAACACGAAAAACAAAAAAATCAAAAACAACGAAAAAACCCAAAAACAAATCCGCAGCCTTGTTAAAATAACAGGAGAACATAGAATGAGTGAGTTGAGTTTTGTTCTGTTAGGTTTTGAGTTCTCGAATCAAACGATCATGCTTGACGGAAACAGATTCATCAGGACCGAGGCACTACTAGGTTGGACCCTGAATTGGCCCAAATCTCCAGAACTGAACTCTCCTTGGAGGCATTGAAACTGGCCTCTCTCATTGACACCCAGTTGCTCTGCCAGGCGCAGGTTTTCAATGCGATCTGCTAAGTATTGCGTTTTGTTTTGCTTTCCTGAACCTTGGTTTGGAGGTGGTGACTGGACCTTTCCGGCGGCGCCTATTGGCTTTGTCTAGAAGCGCGATGGAGGCCTTGGAAGTGTTGCGCTTTTTGGAACTCCCAGATACAATTTAGATGTGGTTATTGCCCAAACTTCGAGGCTACGCAACTGCCAGCCGCAGCAGGAGTCTTTCTGGTGGTGTGAAGGCCATGAGCTGTGGTGAAGTTTTTCCATCGCGGCAAGTTCTTCCGAGCTCTCTCTTCAGGCCTGGGAGGATGCTTCCAATGCCTGCCGTGAGCGCATAGCTTTGTGCATCCAGCAGGCAGATGAAAGCAATGGCGTGAAAGACATCAACGCTTGCAATACCGAGAATGGATCACGTTTGCCTAAGCTAAGTGGTTTCCTATTTTATACGTATGCTACATGAATACCAAGGCAATGTCGCACAGAACGATTCAATATACAGGGTCATCCAGCATTTTCTTTGAATGTTGGCTTGATTCCACTTCAAATGCTTCCCAGGCAGTTGCAAGCAAAGCTGGTGAAACTCGAGGCCTACTGTCTGAGAGGTGTACCAAACTCAAGCAAACACTTCTATAATAGTGAAGAAAGTCGAGAATGCTTCCGCGGTAGCCGTCCAATGCAAACGGAGCAGGTGCAGAACCTTCATAGCCTCAGCCTCAGTGAGCCAATGTTTTGTGCAGAGGACTCCTGATATGCACAGACAGTTTCAAGTGACACATTTGGTGGGTTCGATTGGCTGAACATTCTTGTGCTTGGGCCTGTCAGGCTGGAGGCAGATCTTTCTGAATTTGTAGTTCTTGCACAGCACAGGGATTCCCGCGTGCGAAACATTGTGAAACCGAGAAACTGTGTATTTACAGACTTGACTGCGTACTTGCCTTCGTAGAGTCTTGATGCTTCCTGCAAGCTGGTATCCCTACAAGGTCTCACTCTTTTGTTTCACTGCGCTCGAGCGCTGTAATAGACTTCTGCGGTTCAGCAGGAGTGTGTGGCTTTGCTATCCTGGTGGAGATTCCAACAAAGCCAAGGGAGTAGGCAATGTCAATATGAGGCGTTGGATGCGGGTTGTGGAAAATCGTTCAGTGGCTCCTTTCTGGCACAGTACTGCAATGAGCTACAGATGCTTGTGCCTACCATGACCTATTTGTGTGTGTGTGTGCGTGCGCGCGGCAAATTAGCGGATGCAGATCACCGCAACCCTGGTCATTTGTTTTCTTTAATCAGGTTTTTACCTGGCAATGCCAATCTTGACTGCAGCCTTTGCAGCTATAGCATCCAGGTTTCTGTAGCGGTGGCAGCTCGGCATTTGCAAGATGTGGATTCTGCAGCTTGCCATCCTGGCCTTGGGGGATGATGTGGTTCCAGACGCTTGTGATGAAATTGAATTCTTGCAAACACCGCCTCTGCCTTTGCCGCCATTGAAGTTGGAGCCTCAGGCGTCGGATGAGCCGAGCTTGTGGAGCTTGAGCAACCCCAACCCCAGCATCTTCGAGTGGCGCCATACTGGCTACTGGAGTGTGGATCGCGTTGCGGCGCGCCATATCGAGGTCAGAAAAAGCGCCGTCACCAAGCTATGCAGTGAAGAGGAGAAAAAACAGAAGATTGACGAATTCTCTGATCTGACAGAGAGCGACTTCCGGACTATCAAGATCGGCTACTTGAAGGTTCCCCTTGGCTACGACAAGACAAAGCCAGCCTCGAACATCACACTTCAGCTTCGCGTGTCTGCGATGATTGGTGCTGCTGGCCCTGATGCTCCACTGCTTCTCCAACACAATGGTGGGCCCGTGACGGACGATTATGGCCCCCTTAGATCTGGATGGTTTGGCCTCGAAAAAAATCCTCTTTATGAAGGTATCGATCAGAAGTACACGCTGCTTGGAATTCAGCAGCTGGCAGCAGGGCATGTCGGACAGTAGCCCGGGCAATCAGTGGCCTGTGAAAGTCTTGACGAAGCAGTTCAAGGCGGTATGCGATGGCAAGCATCAATTCACTGAAGGAGCCACGTCAGAGCGGGCGGAAGTATATACAAGTGTACAGCCCGGGGCTGTAGCCAACAAACAGAACTTCCTGAGTCAAAGCGAGCGGCCTTTTTTCCCCGCGCTTGCCTAGGCTAACATGGAACTTGCGAAGCTACCCGTGCTATCCAACACTTCCATGTTAAGCCTCCCTGCAATGCCGTGTCATGTGGCTTGATTCCACTTACTGTATGTTCTATGTTAGGTTTTTCTCTGCAAAAATCGGCGTGTTCAAGCTTCCCCAGGTACTGAGACGACGGAGGTACACACGTTGCTGTATTACTTTTTTGGCTTTTGGTGCTGTGTTAAATCTCAGTATATATGAGTAATTATGAGTATATGTATGCCCTAGTCTAGTACAGGAACTATATAGACGAGCCCAATTGGTTCCCAGCTTTCTTCGATGCTCGTAGGACTTCACAAGCTGCGAGTGCGACTTGCCAGAGTATGGCCAACAGGTGCCAAGCCCATTTCCTGATCCCGACAATGAGTCGGAGACGGACCCATGGTTTCGATTTGCAGCTTCCCGAAACCGCAATTGCTACGACTCCGACTTTTGGAAGGTGACTGATCCAGAGAGCAAATCCACGTACAACTTCCTGGACTACGTTGGGACGGGGCACATGGCGCATGACTTAGATAGACTTCGGCAGGCCTTCGGGGCAGAGAAGCCTAGCATCAATGGAATCAGTTACGGCGCAGCAGTGGGATCTTCCTATGCGGCAGTATTCCCCAAGAACACTGACAAGCTTCTCTTGAATGGCAATGTCTACCCAGGACCAAATGTGGAAGACTATTGTGCTTCGGCAGCTGTCGCATCCCGCCATGTCATGGTGAAGCTTGTCAAGATTTGCCGCAATGAATTGGCGGAGACATGTCATCAAAATGCAAACAGCCAGGCATTGACCCTGTGGATTTCTTTTTGGAGGTTGTGGCCAAGGTCAGAAAAAATCCAGATGCTTACTCAGCCCCAACAGATGTGGGCACAAGATTTGTGTTGACTCCCAGCATGCTTTACAACTTCTTGAATCTTCCTTTGTCTAATGGGACGATGCCAGCATGGGCAAAGGTTTTGCAAATCATGAACGCCCTTGGCGATCCCAACGACCTAGCCCGCCAGAAAGCAATTCTCGATGTTTTCAAGTACAACTGCAAAGACCAATGGGAGAAGCATGGTTATTGTGCAGAGGACATGATGTATTCAACCAACACTGACTTAGACGGTGGTGTCACTGAAAATGCAGTCCGAGCAATGGACTACGCTGGCTGTTACACCCCAACGGATGCCACGCTCTTTTTCCGTGAGTTGAAGCCAAAATTCCATGGGGTGGAGTTGTACTTTGCCAACATCAAGGCTGGTTTTTGGTTTGCTGACTTGGCCAGGTGAACCCGCACCGGTCATGTTCGGCTCTCGCGGGGGTGTGCAAGCATTTATCGTGAACTCTTTGTATGACCGCGCCACGCCTCACTACTGCGCCCAGCTCATGCGAGCTGCCTTTCCAGATGGCGTCCTATAATATATACAGGGCATTGGCCATGGGATAAACCCAGCATTTTGGGACAGGTATTTTACCACCCGATGGCTTTACCTGCCACCAAACCATGAGGGCCACATGTAGAGGGCTGGCTGGATGCTGAGCACACTGTCCCGGGTTCAGATTGATTATGATCAATCAAGACCCTGAAGTTTTGAATCATGCCTGGACACCTGAGGGTGGCACCAGACCGAAGCCGCACGAGAGCATTTGCATTCTTATCCAAGTTCTAAAGTCAATCTCTTTATCTCTTTGCACTTTCTAATGCCCGCCTTGTCACATTTGCCAAAAGTGCAATGTGAATGTTGAAGCTTGCGATGGCGGAGATTTCAACAAAGGTGAGCCAATCGGCAATTTCAATATCAGAACAATATGTCAGAATATGATGCGTATTGATGCGCTGGATGCGGCTTCTGCAAGGTTGTGCAGTCTTCTTTCCGGTACAGAGTTGCAATGAGATACAGGCCCACATGTTTACGTAGGTGTGTGCGCGCAGCAAATCAGGAAAGTGTTGCTGTTTTGGATTCTCGTGCCCCCAAAAGAAGCACTGGCAGACATAGCCTACTATATGTAGATTGATAAACAAAAATATATTCTATATAGTACAATCATTGCATCTACACAAAACTAACACCAGCTGAATAAATTACCAAGAACGGGGCGTGTGAACTCCCGAATTGAGCAACAAACATTGAAAAAAACCATGGACCGCGACAGTTTTCTGGACTTAGATGTTGTATCGGATCATGTGTTGCCTGACGCAATCAAGTGGACAAACTAGTTCCAACAGCGGTCACAATGGCCCCTCTTTTGCAGAGCAGAAGTGCTTGGCAATGTCGCGCTTGCCCCAGAGCATTGCAAGCGCCGCGGGCTGCGCTGCGAAGAAGTGCACCTCTTGGTCCTGACCTGCCGCAGAGGATTTGGAGTGTTGGGTGGCCGGTGGTTCCGGCAACATTGGCAGGCGCACATATCCGCTTTTGGTACCTGTAAATTTCGAGACGAAGGCTTTAAGGTTCTGCTGAATTTGTGGTCGCTGGAAAGGCCTTTGTGGAGCACGTGCTCGGAAACTTGCCAAATCCTGTCCTTCGCTTCCTTCCCCAACCAGGCCCAAAACTGGTACGGAAAGATACAGGAACTGTTTCAGGAGAGAGAGAGAGAGAGAAAGATATAGAAAGTGGTATGTATAGAGCCTCATGCCTTGTGCTTTGCCTTGCTTTAGAACGACTTACTTCGTGCTTTGCAGTAACAGACAATGGAACCAACTTGATCAATGGAAGGACAGTGAACCCTGGCACTGGGGAATGGGTCATTCCAGAGGACTGTTGTATATGCTGTAGATCTCCCTGAGACTGCACGCTGCTAAGACCATCTAGTTCAGTCTGTTGAATCACATGGACTTCTTTGAAGGACTTCCCAAAGCCCAAAGGCATTGAGCAAACGGCAAACTATGCTGAAGCCAAAGCGCTTTCAGACAAGCTCAAAGCTTTGGACGGCCAGGCGTGGCTGACACTCTTTTCAGACAGAAAGCGGTGACGGTGACACTCAGAAGTGCAAGCGCACCATAGACACTAATCATCGACCAGGCCAAAGCAAAGACCATCGTGGTGATTGGTGGTGGTCTGTCTGGTTTAGCATGTGGGAAATACCTCTCTGATTCTGGACACAAAGCTGTTGGAAACCTAATTTCTCCGCTACAGCTGTCAGCCACACGAGAATTTCACAAGATTGACATTTTGACTGTAGGTCGTTTTGGAAGCACGGGACGTCCTGGGTGGCAAGGCAGCGAACATGTGTGTTCTACCTTGCAGTTGTATATCGCTGCCACCCTTTTCATTGTTTGCTTCACTTGGAAGGTCTCTGCATGGCAAGATGAAGATGGTGATTGGATAGAGACCGGCCTTCACATTTTCTTTGGTGCTTATCCCAACATGATGAATCTCTTTGCCGAGCTTGGAATTGAGGATGTGGTGGCATTGTGTGGTATGGTTAACTGTGTTGAAACGGATGATTGTTTGACCCTGTGAGATTCCAACTTTGCTATGCGCATAATTTTGCCCTTCGAGGATCGTCTTCAGTGGAAGCGGCATCAGATGACATTCGCCATGCAAGAGTTTCCTGGAGAATTCACCACTTTTGAATTCCCGGGTTGGCCAGCCCCGCTGAACATGGCCGCAGCCATTCTGTTGAATCAGAAGATGCTCTCCCCGTTAGAGAGCCTCGGAAGATCACGTGGGTTTTTGGGGGTGAGGAGCTGAACTAGTGGATTAGAGCTACAAGAATCTACAATGATGAGACTTTCATCGGTATTGAGTCATTGAGCTTTTGTAAGTTTTGAGACTGCTGTTGGGGTTCAGTGACTGTGGGCGAATGAGCGACGCTGCAGCACAGCCCAGGAAACTGCAGACGGGTCCACCTTTGCTGCCCATGCTCGTTGAAGGACAACGCTTTATAGATGCGCAAGACGAGTGTTCAGTCACGGACTTTTGTAAAAAGTACGGGATGCCAGACCGAATTATCAAGGAAGTCTTCATACCCATGGCTAAAGCATTAGACTTCATTGATCCAGACAAGCTGTCCATGACCGTGGTGCTTACTGCCATGAACCGCTTCATCAACGAGACAGACGGGAGTCAAACAGCTTTCCTGGATGGGAATCAGCCAGACAGGCTTTGCAAGCCTATCGTGGAACATATCCACCAGAGAGGTGGAAAGGTTCGACTTGGAGCGGTCATAGAAGAGATTGTTTTGAATGAGGATGCCTCCGTGAAGCATCTCCGTTTGCGTGGAGGTGAGGTTTTGGAGGCTGATGAATACGTGTCAGCTCTGCCAGTGGATGTTTTCAAAAGGCTTCTGCCGGCTCAATGGTCCAGCATGCCATTCTTTCGCCAGCTCGACAATCTGGAGGGTATTCCTGTAATCAATATCCACCTTTGGTTTGATCGGAAACTCAAGAACATCGATGCCCTATGCTTCAGTCGCAGTCCTCTCCTCTCTGTTTATGCTGATATGAGCACTTGTTGCAAGGAGTACTATGATGAGGAGCGTTCAATGCTGGAGCTTGTCTTTGCACCCTGTGCTGCTATTGCTGGCAGCAGTGTGAATTGGATTGCAAAGAGCGACGACGAAATTGTTGAGGCTCGCGGCTTGTGGGCTCATCACATGTCTGAATTTGCGCGGAGTCCTTCTTTTCTCAAATGCGTCGAAGAATTCAGGTTGATCTTTTGCCCCTCTCTCTCTCTCTCGGAGTCAGGCCACCATGAAAGAACTGGAGCGGCTCTTCCCCACCGAGATTGGTGAGAAGTTAGCTGACGGTGCACGTCTGCGGAAATCTCGAGTGGTGAAGGCACGACAAGCGAATGACTTGCTTCGTTCCACTCATTCAATCTGAATGGACCGCAACTAAAGGTGCCTCGAAGCGTCTATGCAGCAGTGCCTGGGCGCAACAACTTCCGTCCTTCCCAGGCGAGGTACGAGTCTTTTGTGAGGATGTGCTGCATTGATTGTGAAACCAGCAAACCTACTGCAGAACTGCAGAACATGACAAGCTACAAGCTTGCTTGGTGGTGCCAGGCTACACCCATCAGGAACTTTACCTTGGCAGGGGACTGGACGAGTCAGAAATTCCTGGGTAGCATGGAAGGTGCCGTTCTTGCAGGCAAATTGGCGGCGCAGGTGGTCTCAGAAAGGGCCCTATCCATCCCCAGTCAGGCGAGGGAGGGAGTGACAGTCGATGGTGTGTGCATGTGCGTGTGCTGTTTCTTGCAGAGGTATATCATTGTATATATATATATATATACAACCAAAAATTGAATAACATATATATATATATCTCTCTCTATATATATGTATAAATATTTATCTAGTCCATTGCAGCTCTCATGCATGTTTTGCGCCAAAGCCATTTATACTTTAGCTTTGCAAGGTGAAACGAGTGGCTGACTTCATCATAGAGCAGCCAAGCAAAGCACCTGAAGGCCTGGCAACTGAACAACAAATGCAGGGCAGTGACGCTGATGCAGTGCTTTGGCTTTGACACGAGTTGCCTCGGGATGTCTACTTATTTGTACTAATCACATGTCCACGGAGCATTTGCTGTGCGAGCAAGTACCTATGTGCGCGTGCGTTTGTGGGCGTGTGTGCGTGAGGGTCACGTGATTGACGAAGCAAGGCCACCCCCTGTCCAACAACGAACCCCGGCTATGTAACTCTAAATAGCCAATGCTTTATAGCGCTATGGGCTTCTTACTTCACTCTTCCAGCGCCAGAAATGCCACTTAAGGTCACTTCTGTCGAACATCTCAAACACCAGCCAAAAGAAACACTCAAGAGATTCGATTGGTATTCGCCGCTTTAAGTCCAGATTGCATACTCTAATTCCAAATCACCATCAGCCATGGCAAACAAGCAGAAAACCATGGGATTGAGATGTAAACTCACAAGTTCAAACTCAATGCCGTTCGTGCCTGCCATAAGCACTTTTGCGCCTTTCGTGTGCCCTCCGTTTGTTTTGACACAGCTTTGCTTGTAGCGCGTTAGTTGTACGCAGTGTCGCTTTCGCGCGTGTACAGGGACTTAAGAACTCTGATGAAGCAGTAGTATTTTCATGATACATGTATCTACTGGGTATCTTAGCGGTGAATATATCGACCAACGCAATTTTGTGCACAGGGCACAGGTCTCACTTTGTACATGACTGACGCCTTTGGCCCAAAGTCAAGGAAAACTGACTGCTTGCTTCGCATGTCCATTCGCATCATCCCTTCGAGATGTCTCTCTCTCTCTCTCTCTTTCTCTCTCTCTCTCTCTCCCTCTCTCTCTGAGACTGTGTTCTTTCCAAGGGAGCTCCCCCCCGCCCCACCACCTCCTTGACAATTTGATAACGTATTGATGTGAGGCACCCCTCCTTCAACAGTTCCTTCAACCCCTTAGGAAATTTGCAGGTTGTGTGGACCAGCTCATGTCAACCCAGCGCCCCAGCGCCAGACTCACTTCAGCTCATTTGGTCTTTGTGCACCTCCCCCCCTTTTTTTCCAGCAGGATACTTGTTGTAAGTTTGTTGGTTGCACATTCCGGGGAGAATTGCAATGATGGACTTTCCACCGAGACGATTATCGAAGACATGAGATCTATATTGTTCTAGGGTGCCACCTTCCAGGCAACACATATGGGTCAAAGAACCCGCCACTCCTACTGATTATTGTTGATTTGTTTGTTGATTTATGCGCATGTGTTTTGCGGGTGTTGTGCAGCAGGTATCCATGGTTCCTCAGCTTTGGCCTTTGGTGGAGGAACTCAGATGAAAGCTCAGGACTTTGAGGAGCTTCGACGACAGGACTGCCAGGGAAGCCAAATGAGAGACGCAGAATGACGCAGATGCATGGGCATTCCGAAAGCAAGGGGCTGGTCAATAGACACTAGCTTTCAACGTGCTCGGTGCGAGTGCAAAACCACAACTTGCTGCGAGGACCCTGCAGCGCTGTATGACGGTGCGACGGACTCCTGAAAGAGGTGTGTCCTTGGAGTTCTCGAAGCTGGCAGGCTTGCAGTCCTTAAGAGCCAGCTCTTTCGCGTGAATCGAATGTGCATCGTTCTCTTTTAAATGGTGTCTTCTCAAGTTTTTCCTCTCCCCGCTCCCAGCGCCCTTGCACCGTCCTCTCACACCAACACCGCCTCATTTCAGAATGTTGCCGATTCTTCACCCACCAACTCATCTCGCACGGTGGCAGGTGTAGTGGTTTGCGCATGTTTGCGCACGTCCGTACTTTCTTCTTTTTCACTGGAAGACTGGAAGACACATGTATAGAATTGAAAGGTGAGGATGTTCCATGGAAGGATGACACATGTTAAGAAATGATGACACGTCTTTTGAAGCCTGTGATGCCACTCTTCTGGGTCAGGTCGAGCGCAGGGAATGTGCTTTCCTCACTAAGGAGCTTTCCTATTATTTTGCTTAACTTCCCTCTCTCTCTCTCTCTCCCTCTTCATCACCTCTACTCTCTCCTTTCCCCTTTTCCGCTTCGGAAAGGATGTGCCTTGTTCCCTCCACGACTCCTTTACGTCCTTCATCTGGATTTTTGACATCACTACTGTATTTTCCACCCTTTTTCTTTTCCTTACGCTTTGTTATGTCTTATTTCTTTGTGCTCGAGTCCTCAGTCCACCAGGAAAGAACATGAGACAAGACAAGAAAAAAGAACCCCAGATGTGGAGACAAGAAAACCTTGGAGTAGGCAGCAGGGTAGGCTAGTGACGGCTGAAAAGGAGGGAGGTGCGGTTTGGCAGAGAGGTAGGTAGTCCGATAGCGAGGTAGTGGGTATGGAGGAGCAAAGCGGTAGAGGAGGGGTAAGAGAGCATGGAGGATGAAGGATACCGGTTGTTTGCGACCAGAAAGAGCGCGAGCTGTGGCTCAGGAAAGTTGTGGGCATTCATCTGAAACATTGCTGTTGATGGAACGGCGCAAGATACACAGTGTTGGACTACTCCTGCATCCTGAACATCAATGGTAACATCTACAGGAGCAAAAGCTCAGAAGTGGTCGGTGAATAAATCATGTCATGTAGAAAAGTGAGTGGATCGCATATGTGCCGAAGCCTTTTGGAATGTACCGGGAGGTCACTTTAGGGAGAAGAGAGTACCAAAGTGCATGAAACACAGTTCAGGGGAAGCCTGCGCATCAAATGCAAAGCAAACAAAGGTGGAGGATCATAGTATATAGTTAGCTTGGGGGGTTTGCAGATACCTTCTGCAACAACCATCATACTAGAAGAGAGTCCTTCAGTATTGTTCAGTGCAATGTCCCCTTTGCGCTGCAACAGCCTTTGCTGCGGGAGGACTGCTGAACTTTTGCACCTTTCTTTTTAGGGTGATGGCCAAAGTCTGTGCGCTTTGACATACTTGTACCGATGTATATGAGTAATCCTTCGGCAGAGCCGGTGGGCGGAATTTGGAGCTGAATCGTTGGGTGAGAAAAGGGTCACATGATGATGTGTGATGTCGTGGTGTGACGGAGTGAAGCAAAGAGAAGCAAGCCCACAGATGCCTTGAGTAAAGAGAAGCTATCCGATCAACTGTAACATCCATGATGGAGTGTCAAGTGTAAAGCTCTATTATGTTGGCAACTTTTCTCTAGAAATCTCTGTTTTTGATTGCTTTTGCTTGGAAAGCTCTACTCTTAGCTACTTTTCGCTTTAAAGCTATTCTTTTGGCAACGCTTCTCTGGAAGTCTTTACTCTTGCAAACCTTTTCTCTAGAATCTTTACTTTGGCAACTTTTTTGTAGCAATCGCTAATCCTTGCTCCTTTTCGCTTTAAGTGCTCTACTTTTTGGCAACTTTCGGCTATATAGAACCCCGTACTTGGCTTACATGTCTGTCTCTCACGTTCTAGAACCGTTTTGTAGAAATCACAATTTTTGGTTACTTGTGCCGGGAAAGCTCTACTTTTGGTTATATTTAAAAAATATTTAAAGGCTTACGCCCGACAGCCGGGCGCCGGCCCAACACAGGGAGAAAGTAAGACGGTAGAGGGGACAGAGGCAAGAGACATGAGGCGACGGGGCCGGGACTTCGGGCATCCTGGCAGCATCCTTCACTGTGGAAGGAGGCTTACCACCCGAATGTGTGTAAGTGTGAAACGGCGAACGTTGTTCGATCGGAGGTTGATCCCAATCCCGCCATGGATATGTACCCAAATCACCAGGGGCCGTAATTGCGACCACTCACTCACCATCTTTTGCCATGGTGCTTGGAAAAGTCTCTGGTTGAGCTCTGGGGGAGACCACGGTTTCACAGTGGTACCGCGGAGCCTTGGCTAGCTATCCAGGGCCTGTAGGAGGTGAGCATGAGCGACGAGGAACACGCATCCCGGAGAGCCGCAGGTTATGCCTCTGCCAGCCACTGAGACGAGAGGACGAGGCCAGGACACTGGTGGGGGCCGCGACCGCGATCCACCACCAAGCTATGATGGGGAGAATCTGGAAACCACATTCCGGAGCTATGAAAAGCAGGTGAGCCTTTGGCAGTTCGAGACGGAGGTGCCGAAGGCCAAGCGAGGTGTGAAGCTGCTTCGCCAATTGAGTGGAGCGGCTGCCAATGCCTTGGACGACATAGAGGTGGGCGACGTAGCTGCTTAGCTTGCGAGGATGGCGTGAAGAATGTGATGAACAAGTTTCGTGAGTACTTCATGCCTCATTTGGAGGTGTCGCTGCCGAGAGCTTTCGAGGCCGCGGTGTACGGGGCTCCAAGGCCCAGCAAGGAGAGCTTTGCGGAGTACACGAAGCGCATGGAGAGAGCTTTTACCCACCTCCAGCAAGGAGGGCGTCGACCTTCCGGACAGTGCGAAGGGCTACATCCTGTACTGCCAGGCCGGACTCACAGACTCTCAGGAGTCAGGAGCAGCGCCTTCTCACTTGGTCTGAGGGCAAATACGGTCGGTCGGAGATTACGATCGCCCTGAGACGCTGGACAAGGTCATCCGAGAGAAGGTAAAGGGTAGCTACATCCTGGAGGAGAGCTTTGTCACGGAGGATCCGGCGGGTGGCACCTTCGACCAGGAGACGGCCCAGTCGTGAAGAGCGCCGGGCGTTCTCTGTGGGACTATACACCACCTACTACCCCATTGCGGACAGCAACTGGACCCGGAACGGTGCTCAATGGACGGAACACCATGGGCTCACGTCGTGGTCCGGCCAGATCGAAGAGGAGCGCATGAAGACCTATGGGAAGGCGGCCGGACGCGGCAGTTGAGCCGGAAGGAAAGACAGTTGGTGGGAAAGGGGGGCTCCAGGAGAAACAGGTTGGAGAGCTCTACTGCCCGCCGAGGATTTCAGAGCCGTTGAAGAAGAAAGGACCCGTGGGCACTAGCTTCGACCTGCAGACCGGCTGGGGCCTTTCCAGAGAAGATCGTCGACGAGAGATGTGGAGAGTTTTGCGAGAAGAGCGGCCAGAGGTCCGACCTCATTGTTTCGCCACCGTGTACGGCCTTCAGCAAGCCATCAACTGGGGCCGCGTGAGCCATGAGAAAAGGGTGCATTAAATGCTGAAGACCGGCTGGGAGCACTTGAACCTGGCCATCAGCGTGATCCGGTGGCAACTTGGTCGTGGAGGAGCTATTATGTTCGAGCGTCCGGACGGGGCAACATCATGGCAAGAACCAGAACTACAAGCCCTGGCTAGTCGCTCGGACGTGAAGACAGTCGTGTGCGACCAATGCATGTTTGACCTGAATGTGGACGGCCGAGGCTTGAACAGGAAGCGCGCCAGGTGGCTCTCCAACGTCCCTGGGGTGCTACAAGCGCTGGACCGCAAGTGTGATCAGGCCTGTAGAGAACGGAAGGCCTCGACTGGCGCAGGTATACCCTGAGAGACTGTGCCAGGTGGTTGCAAAGGCCATCATGAGCTACCTCGAGAAGAGTACGTGACCGCCTACGCCATGGAGGAGCTGGAGGACGAAGAGATTGAAGAGGAGGCCAGTGGAGAAGGACCTGGAGACTATGAGCTCAGCGAGGAAGAGAAGAGGGCGGTGACGCTGTAGTCCACCGGTCAGTGGGGCGCCCCCAGAAGCAGGAGTTCATTCGATTCCTCCGGGCCGCCCGGGTGAGAGGAGAGGTGGCCCAATGGGCCACCAAGCACTTTCGGTGCGACGTGTGTGAGTCCAAAGCACACCCAAAGATACCGCGGCCGACCGCTCTACCTCGGGCTTATCAACCAAGTCGAGTCCTGGGCATGGACCTCTTCTATACCCGCGCCGGGGTGCGGGAAACAAACCACTCCCGTACTGAACATGGTCGACTGGGGCACCAATTTTCAGATGCGCCAAGTTCTTGAAGGAAAACATCCCACAGAGGTATGGGACGCCTACATGAACACCTGGGCGAGGACTTTTGGGCACCCCGAGGTCACCGGGAGTTCATGGGCAAGTTCATCAACCGGGCAGCGGCTGAAGGCATCGTGGTGCATCAAATCGCATCAAAAGCTCCGTGGCAACAAGGCAAAACTGAACGACACGAAGGTCACTTCAAAGAACTCTTGGACAAGGCCCGGAGTGAAGTGGTGGTGCAAAGCCAGAGGGATCTACAACGCTTGATGGCGGAAGTCGAAACGACCAAGAACCGGTACTCCAACCGGTCTGGCTTCAGATTGGCCAATGGCCCCGACTACCCACTTCAATCATGTCGGACGAGGCCATCGATCCCACGCTGATCACTGATGACACTTGAAACTGCGCCACATGAGACGAGTTGCGCGCAAAGCCTTCTGCGAGCGCAACGCCAAGAACACCTACCAGAGGGCCCTACGGTCCCGACCTAGGACCTGGACCGAGCACAAAGCCGGGGGATAATACGTCTACGTGTTCCGGACTCCAAGACTGAAGAAGAGAAAGCACAGAGCGCCGGCAGAGGAGGCGAGCCTATCCACAAAGGCCCGCTGGGTAGGTCCCGGCGTCGTCATCACTCCAGACGGTGCCAACCTGTGTGTCAATGCTTGGAGAGTTGTGGAAAGTGGCCAGAGAAGAATGTCGCCCGGCTACCACAGATGAGCGCACGGGCGTCGAGGCGGTGGTCAGCGAACGCCAAGATCGAAGAATTCCATCGAGGGTCACACCGCACTGGCTACAAGGACATCGCCCAAGAAGACTGGAAGAGGGCGACGATCGAGCCCAAGAAAGGTCACGGAATGAAGGTGAAGAAGGAAGGAGAGGCGACCCCGAGGATACCCTCGACTACGCGCCGGAATACCTCAATGAGCCAAGTGGCGGAGGCCCAGAAGCAGAAGGGTCCCCGAAGCGAAGAAGTTCGATCGCTGACCCTAGAAGTCCAAAGACTATTTTAGGCACCGCCCAAGTAAAGGAAGTTCCTTTTCGGATCATCTAAAGACCGTTTTAAAAATGGTCTTGGACTCCCAGCATGAACCAGAACAAGAAGAAGTACCTTCATCTGAGGATGGGGCTGAATGTTCAATCCGGCTTTTCCAGGCACCAGGAGAACATCCAGACCGGGGCATTCGACGGGCTATGAGGGAGTCAGTGGCTCGGGCTAACCGCCTGCCGGAAGATGGACTCAGATGGACCTGAAGGGAAGGCCGTGAGACTCCACCTCCATCACAGAAAAGCGGACTATGAATGCCGGTTCACTTCAGAGCTTCCGTTCCCGGTGCGCCACCTTTTGGAGAAGAGGACTACCCTCCTGGAGATTCAAGGACAAGGGAAGTCATGGAAGACGACTGGGACAAGCCCACATGGAAGATGGCCGAGGGCTGGTGGAGAGGGCGCGCTCATTCTACATCAAGGACAAGGGGGAGACGCTGAACTACCTGGCGGAGAAGAAGGGCCAAAAGAGAGCCCTCAAGACCAAGAAGAAGGGAAACAGTCCGATCTCTCGGAATGGAACAAGGTGACCGGAAGTGGAGCTGTGCAGGAGCTGGATCTTGAGACTTCCAGATAAGTGCGGAAGGAGCTGAGAGAAGCCGGACAAGAAGATCGAATACTGCCAACCAAGATCGCTCGACGCTACAAGCCGGGAGAGCAACCCGGTGAGGCGGCAACCAAAAAGTCGCGGCTGTGCATTCGTGGAGACTTGGACCCAAACATCTTGGACTTGGAGCGCTTCTCACCTACGTTGAACACCGTGAACTTCAACGTGTTGCTCCAGGTGGCAGCCAATGAGAACATGAAGGCGACAGTCGGAGACCTCAAGAATGCCTTCTGCCAAAGCCATCCTTTGGAACGCCCAAAGGGGAAGCTCTACTTCCAACAGCCCAAGGAGGGAGTCATTGGATTAACAGATCGTCCTGATCATCGCTGGATGCTATGGTCTCGTGGACGCACCTCTACATTGGAGAAAGTCGCTCACCGAAGACATTCAGCAGCTAGGCTATGAGATGTCTGCGCTCGACCCATGCATTATGAAGCTGTACGACAAGAACCATAAGAAGCTCCTGGGAGCCATTGCCGTCGAGGTGGACGACCCCTTCACAGTGGGTCACGAAGAACACCGCCAGCAGATGAACAAGCTCCGCCAGAAGTATACGTTCGGCAAGTATGTGCAGCCCCAACAGGAACCAGATGGGTGCGCCTTCAACGGAAGGCGAATCCGCCAAACCAGCAATGGTGGATTCCTCATCGACATGCAGAAGTTCGTGGAAGAAAGATTGCGCCCGGTGATTTTGGACAAGGGGCGAAAGAGCGACCGCAAGGCAGCCGCCAATGAGAAGGAGATCAGCATGGCTCGTGCCACGTGTGGGGCACTCAATTGGCTCAGCCGAGAAGGAAGGCCCGATGCGGCTGGACCCTCTAGCCTTATGGCCTCCAAGCTCACTAAGGTCACCATTGAGGACATCATCCAGTTGAACGAGGCCGTGGCAGAGTTGAAGGAGAAGGCGTCCTTGAGCCTGCAGATTCAGCCTCTGAAGAAAATGAGGATGAGCGTGGTGACAGATGCGTCATTTGCCAACAACGGCTTTCACTCCCAAGGTGGACATCTGGTACTAGCGCATGAGAGAGGCCTTCAAGATGGACTTCAAGCCACGACCAACATCGTGGCATGGCGCAGCGGAAAGCTGCAGAGGGTAGTTAACTCTACCCTGGCGGCGGAAACCCAGAGCTTGTCACGCAGGCTCGCCGAGCTCATGTGGGTGATGGTTCTCGTCCAGGAGATCCAGGACGGGAAGTTCAATGTGAAGGCGTGGCGGCAGCGGGTGGAGGCCGAGCTCATGGTGATGAGTTCTGAGCTCACTGAGGGGGCCTTGAAAGAGTCTCTAGCCGTCCTCTACATTGTTTGTCCAAAGACACTTTGGGCCGCCAAGACCGGAGGACCGCCATAGAAGTCCAGATCGTGCGTCAGGACTTCAAAGAAGTCAACGGGTCAATCCGGTGGGTTCACCATTTACCCATGCCGGCCGATGGGCTCATGAAGGTGCACGGTTCGAACGCAGCTCTGTTCGACCTGGTGGAAACCGGGAAGTTTTGCATTCGGCCCACTTCAACTGAAATGGACGCCGAGCAAACGCTCGGAATGCGGGCCAAAGCAATGCAGAGCTGAGACGGATTCTGGGGACTGTGAAACGGCGAACGTTGTTCGATCGGAGGTTGATCCCAATCCCGCCATGGATATGTACCCAAATCACCAGGGGCCGTAATTGCGACCACTCACTCACCATCTTTTGCCATGGTGCTTGGAAAAGTCTCTGGTTGAGCTCTGGGGGAGACCACGGTTTCACAGTAAGATAGATAGAAGGTCTCTGTCTCTGTCTCTCTCTCTCTCTCTCTCTCTGTGTCTGTGTGTCTGTGTGTCTGTGTGTCTCTCTCTCTCTCTCAGACTGTGGGCCTATGTTCCCACATCTGGTGGCTATCTTGGCCGATCTAGGGGCTATGTTTCCCATATCCGGGACCTATGTAGGGTCATCTTGCGGCTATGTGTGCCATTTCTGGGGCATCTTGAGGGCCTCTGTCAGGTCATCTTGGAGCACATTTTCCGCCGTGGATGTTGGCGCATGCCCGACACCCACGAAATGTCGATTATGCCTGTCCGCGCGGCGGGCACTACCGACACCACCCCTAAAAAACAGTGTTTTTGCATGTCGTTGCCCTTTCGCCGCGCCACGACAAATTTTTGATCTACCACCCCCACAAAACGTAAAGCACAGTGTTTTTTGTACCTCACACACACGAAGCACTGTAAAATACTGTAAATTACATGGTGGGAGGTGGGTCGGCGGCAGGCCGGGCGCAACACGGGCGGCCCTGGTCAACCGCTAGCTGGGACTGTCGTTCATGTGGCTGCTGGTGTGTCTGCTGTAGCTGTCTCCGGACCGTTTTCTTCTCTCTCTCGATGCTCTTCAAGACTCCCTCTTGCCACTTCATCTTCTTCTGGAGGCTTTTGTTCTGTGGACTCCTCCGGCTCCTGCATGTCATTTTGTTCACCCGATGCGTCAGCAAAAGGTGGGTCCCCCAGGAGGTCCAAAAAACGAACTGGGCCACGCACCGGTTGGAGAGCCCGGCGCACAGTGGCCTGGACATCAGTTTGAGGAAATTGTTCCAAACGAGACTGCCGTTCGCGAGGTGCTTCATGGCGAAGACGTTCAGGAGAAACGCGAACGAGTGCCGATCCATGGGCCAACCAGTAAACTGAAGGGACCGGCAAGGAATCAGTACCATCACGTGGAGTCATAGAGCAAACAATCGCCGGACCCCGCCATCGACTCACCTCCAGCTTGCTATCGGAGCTCCTCCAATATAAACCCAGTTTCCTGGATAGTAGGTCTCCAACTCACCTCGACTCTTGCTGAGCAGGGCTTTGCGAAGGGTGTGGCCGTGATTCGCTGCGTAGAAGGATCGTGCAGCGTTAAGCCTCAGGGAGACGAGAGTTTGGTGATCCTTGGATGGATCAGCTTGTATGGATGAAGGCTCATCCATCAATCCTTTGTCCATAACGGTCTTGCCGAACACGATCTGAGCTGGAGCTGTGCCATGTACTGAGCGCAGTTGATTCCGCAATGAGCATGCCACAGGGATGGCAGTCTCCAACTGGATTTGAAGACGTCGGACTGCATGTAGACGCTCCACCGTCCCCATTCGATGATGGGCTTCCTTTGATCCCTCTGTCATCCATGTATTGAAGGAACTGCTTGCTCATATGGGCACCAGAAGCATCAGTCCTGATTCGTGATGGGCAACCAAAAGCATGGATCCATTGATCCAAAATAGCCAGCTCCTCTTTCTCTGTCTCGGCGGCCACGACTGCATTCATCTCGTAGCGAGAGTAGATGTCGATGATTGACAACACCCTTCTCTTCTCTTCATTCCACTTGATGTGAAACACGTCCATCTCCAGAAGCTCATTGAAGCATTTGGCCTGTGGCAGAGAGGATGGCTTTGCCGTCTTCTTGTTGGTGAAGTTCTGGCAGGTCTCACACTTGTAGTCTTTAGCGCACTTCACCAACTCTTCTCCCAAATTGGCTTCTCGCACCGCAATCACCAAGCGGTCGCGACCAGGATGGCCAAGCTGTCGGTGAAGCTTTTTTGGAATGAGTTTCTGGTTTCTCAGAGTTCACCTTCTGGGTCTTGTCGATCTCCCCCGTCACGAAGGCTGTCGTAGCCATGATCTTGGCGATTTCCTTCTTTCTCCAAGATTCATCCATACTCTCGTAGATTGCCCTTGCTGCCCTTTTCCACAAAGCCTTCTTCGTAGTTCTGCATGCTTCGAAGCTGCTTCGTCCTTCCTTCCATTCTCACATGTGCTTCCTGGCATTCAGAAGGAAGATGCATAGCCACCATCCACTCGTAGTCCAGTTCGGCGTCGGTCACAGATGGCCTCATAGTATCCCTTCATGGACTTCATCGTGGTTGTTCTCCAAGAATCAGCTCCATGGGCATGTTCACAGGCATAGTTGTTGCCATCTTCTTTGGTCACATCGGCCGTCTCCTTCACGAGGGTCAGATGGGACTCTTCTTCATCGGACCTTTCTGCTTGCAATCGCTCTCTTTGAGCATTTGTTCGTAGATTCAATCTTTGCATTGCGGACCATTTTCTGCAGGGAGGTGCTAACCGCACAAAGTCAGGGCTGACTTCTCTCAACAGCTCAATGAACTCCTGTCGAACTGCCTTGTCGTTGAAGTCCCACTCGGGCAAGGAGAATCCAGAGACTTCAACATCCTCGTAGTGATTGGCGAGGTAGACTGGAGGTTCCCTTCGTCCACGTAGACCTCGAAGAACTTCAGTTTTCTCTTCTCTCGCAAGCGGCGAACCGTCTTCTCCGCAATGCTCTCTACCTCGAACACCTCTTGGCAGTTTGTGGTCGCTATTGCCTCGAATTCCATGCATGGCTCAATGTCGCAAACATCAAGGGCTCCTCCATCCATCAACTCCGTTCCATCCGGAGCTCCCAACTTTCTCTCCAGCTCTTCGAACTGGTAGTAGGCCTCTTCCTGGACTTGCTTCCTGGAACACATCATCAGGTCCAGCAAGAAGTGTCCTCTTGCATTGCGCCCTGGCTTGAACCATGGGGAGTTGCCGATCTTCATCATACCATTCTTGGAATCGTGGACAACTCCCCACTCCTCCAACGTAGGGCGTGCCAAAAGAAATGGCGTTGAGCCGGGCACCACAGATGCCGTGATTTCCAGAAGCTGTCCATGTACTGCTGCTGTGAACGTCACCTCCTATAGGTAGACATCAAAGTCTCTGCACCACCGAACTTGAACTGGCGTTGGACATTGTTGGATACCACGGGCTTCAACTTGTTGGCGTCATACTTCTCCAACCACAGGTGCCAGTTGTTCTCACCCACGATGGTCCGTGTAGCACCACTGTCCACAATGGCCTTGCCGACCTCAGTGGCAGCAAAGAAGCACTGCTCCATGGTGGTGTCCATCCACTCAAACTCCACCTTCTCATCGTTCACAGCCTCTTCCACCATCGTCACCTCTTCAGGGACTTCCTTCACTCCTTGGGTCTGGGGCTTCTGTATCTTTTGAACCGAGGACCATGTTGTTGTGTTGATCCAGAGAATGTCGACTTCTCACTGGTTGCCGTCGTCGAAGTCGATGACATAGGTCCTTAGGCCAGACGTTGGGCGCCTGTTGAAAGGTGTGCGTCGAAGAAATCCACCACCTTTCCCTTTTCCTTTGCCTTTTCCTTTGGAGCTTCCATTCTTGCCCTTTCCTTTGCTCTTTCCATCACCTTTGAAGCTCCTATAGGCTCCCTTCTCCGCCTCCGGACCAATTGCAACCACTGGGTAGAAGCCTCTGGCCAACGCAAGCTCCTTCATGCGTTTCCGACTCTCAACATAGGAAACATAGGCTTGTCCGCATGCTCCATAGCCTCAGTTCCTCGGGGACGTCATCATCGTTGTCATAGTCCCCAACCTCGAAGGCCTTGTCCTCATCCAACCAGTCGTCAACCCAATCCTCGGCCTCCTCGTACCACACTTCATCCTCGTAGTAGGTCTCCTCCTTGACATTGGAGGCAGACTGTCGACTGAGGTCCCGTGAGCTTGGCTTGTGGTCTCCACCAAACATGCGGATCAGGGCCTTGCTCACCTTGTCATACTCCAAGTCTCCTACACATGGCCTTTATCTGCACATGCGTCCAAGGGACACCCGCTCGGGTCAATAGGTGCCACCCAGAGAGAAGCGTAGGGTTCACCTCCTTCATGCGCTTTAGCAGGGTCTTGTGGCGGATGAGGTATGCTTGAAGTTCCTCACCTTTGTTCCTCTTGAATTCACTGAAGAATTGATCACACCTCGATGGGACTTCGATGAGGTCTTCGTACTGATAGAGCTCGTCGAGCAAACGGAACACCAACTGGAAGGATGCCGTTGATCTCTCCACTTCATCGAAACTCAACTGCTCCGTTGCGTCCCATGCCACATCTCGCAACTTGCTGATCACCAGGAAGGCTCCCTCAATGGAAGTCTCACGACCACGACGATCACATTGTCGTTGAAATAGTTCCAACCTTATCCTGAAGCTGCGGTAGGTCTTCTGAGAAAGACCTTCTGAAGAGGGACATGCCTTAGCTAATCCCGAGTCCAACCCACTGCGTTGTGGGGAGTATGGAAGTTGAAGGGCTCCATCGCCGTCCCGTTCAACATTTGCAAATAGGCCACCTCCAGTCGTAGTGGGTGCTGCTGCACCAGGGGCTGATGTCCTGGCCCGGTGGACCTGTGTCCGTCTGGGACTCCCCCGCTCTGCCCCTGACATAGGGTGAAGATCAAATTCTCAACCGTCAGGTGGAAAACGAAGGCGATCTCAGGGAAGTGGGTCACCGAGGACAAACTCAGCCTGGAGCGTGATGGGCTCCGCTACCAATCTCAATGTCGT